CCTCACCACACTTTACGCACTTAGGATTAGCGCGGCACCATCTTTACGTAATGGGCTTCTTTACTATAAATATAAAGTGTGTGTGTGTGTATATATATAAATTACACGGCTGTTGTGAAACGGTTTGAAGAATTTGGCCCATTTTTCGTGTCTTCTCGTGTCCAATGCTCGGATTCCACCGCATTTGCATAATAACTGTTAAACAGATTTAGAATCGTTTAGCTGCGAGTATTAAACGATTTTTTTTCTTCCTCTCTGCTCCATTCGATTTGTGTTGATTTATATTGAAAAAAAAATATAGACTAATTAAACGGAAGAAACGTTATCCGAAGAGGCTGATAGAAACGCATCAATAGGATTCGTTGTAACAAGGAGTTTATTGAGTCCGGGACAAATATAATTGGATTATTTATTGAAGAAGAAAGAACTGTGATTTATTATTCGCAGAAAGGTCGTCAACCTAAGGTCCTTCAACCTTACTTTATTCGCGATTAAATATTATATAAAAAGTGCAGACAACGAATTAAGTTCAAAGGATGAGTTGGAGTATTGATTTTTGCTGTTGCACGAAAAAAGTTTTTCACCTGGGTTCACCAAGGTTGCGGATGTATGGAAGAGCAGATGGCATCATCGGTTCCCCTCATCACAATGCAGCAATTAAGGCTTGAATGCGTGCATTAATTACAGTTTGTAAAAGAAAACGAGATTAATGAATCGAGTGTATAGATTTTTTTTTCGTTTCGATTTTCGGGCTGAACGAAAAGGAAACTGAATGATGTAGATGATGAGTGGAGTAGAAAGTTTTCACGCGTATTTTTCGCGGACAACCTACAAAACGGAGCGATAGATGGTAGAACAAATTGGTAACGAGTGAGGATGATGGTGATGATGATGATGACAAATGGAAAAGAGAGATTGATAATCTCATCTGAATCGGCGAGAATATTTGGAACAAACAATGATCGATTTCGATATAATTGCCAATTAGGAATCCATCAAATCGGCTTCCTTCCTTCGATCGATCGGATTTGCTTCTTTCTTTCTTCCTCATTCATCATTATTCTTCATTTAGTTTATTAAATTAAACAATTCCGCTTCGGAATTCCGTGAAAGTTACGCAGTATTTGAATATACCACACCTACGCCTTTCGTTTAATTACTTTTTTTATACCTTTTAAACGACTTTAATGAAACGTTTTCCGTATATAAAATATCTATAGAAACAATCTGTAAAAATTTAGTTCAATCTTACAAAAAGTTTTTTTTTTTCATAAAATCTTTATAAAGTGTAAATATTTCAATAATTTAATTATAACATTAATTAATTATAGCAATATTTATGAATTTTTATATACTATTTTTTAGTATTTATTAACAAATTTTAATTTGTTTCTATTCAGACCAAAAGGCTGAATTATTTTTGACAATATAAGAAAGTATACAAAAAAATCTGTTTGAAACTTATGCGGATTTTCTATTGAAATTGGTGGATTTAGTGAAACTTCACATAAACTAGGATTAGAAGCTTTTTCGTGAAGCTTTTACATTTTCTTGGAGATCTTGAAAACCGGATATGCGATTTTCGAATTGAAACGTGTTCTGCAAAAGCTGAATCTACGAGGTATAAGACCACGTACATTTCACGTGGGTGATGTTTTAAGATATTTCTAACGAAATTTCTTTAACGTTTAATAAATTTCCTTTGTTCAACATTGAATTTGTGAATTTAGTTATAAAAATTGAAATTTCTTACACATTTAATTGATACTAAATAAGGGAAATATAATTCATTGTGAATATTGTATAAAATATTAAAGACATTTACAATTCAGGTATAAAAAATGTGTTTATTATGAAAACTAATTACTAAAACTATAAAATTTTGAAACATAAATATTAGTTAATATATCACAAAACTTAAGATTAAAACTTTAATATTGTTAAAATAAAGAATTTGTAAATAGTTGAAAGAAAAAATAAGCGTTTTACAGTTAATAAAAATAAATTTAAGGAATGTGATTGGTTTGTTTGAAGACAAAATTTGGATTAGAAATTTTCGGAAGTGGCGTGTATCTGTTACGGGACGTGCGCAAAGATGTGAATGCAGAAGTAAATAAGAGTTTAAGAAAATTTTAAAAAAAAATAGGTGCACGAGATTTAATGAGAGAAAACGATGTAAATAAACAGTCGGATTTATATGCGCGATAATTGCGAGCAGTTTTACCTTTGCGCGGATCGCTCACAGGTGATTAGCGGCGGGTAATGAGAGTTGAATGAATCGCCAGATTATTGTAGTCCACTTACATCAATCAAAATTAAGGTCAGCGACAGTTTTTTTTTTTTAATTCGGGCCCGGCCAAGAGAATTTTTGCAAATTCCCTTTCGAAGAACTCTCCTCCTCTCCACCTTCTTCATTTGGAAAAGAGTATGAGAGTATGAGCTGCAACATTCCAGAGATCTCACCTTGGAATTCTATTCAAATGTCACCTGGCCGCTTTTGCTAACCTTTTCAGCGATATTGTTATTACCCTCCCGGTTGTTTGCTGACCGTTCGCAGAAGAAGAAGAAAAACGAAGAGGAAACATCATTTGTCCGAAATAACAGCTATTAGCTGAAAAGGTCTGCTGTCCCTCGATATTTTAAATTGAAGATGATATTACTCCCAACAACGTTCGATTCACATCTTTACGTAACTCCTGGGTGGCCGATGGTTTCACGTCGTTTTATTATTCCATCTTCGCTCTGCAAACCCGCACACGCAACCCTCCAATTTACATTTGAAATTACCAATAATTGATTTGCACTTATCTTACGTTTTAAAAAAAAATCAAACAACTAATCACTACAGTTCAAACTTTAAACGCTTTCCTCCTGTCTTCTCCTGTCCTGTATTCTCTTGCCCTGTCCTCTACTACCCTGACTCCTCTTGACCTGTCCTCTCTTGACCTGTTCTCTCTTGACCTGTCATCTCTTGACCTGTCATCTTTTGACTTGTCTTCTCTTGACCTGTTAACTATTGACCTGTTCTCTCTTGACCTGTCTTCTCTTGCCCTGCGCTCTCTTGACCTGTATTCTCTTAACTTGACTTCTCTTGACGTGTCCTCTTTTGACCTGTCTTCTTTTGACCTGTCATCTCTTGAACTGTCCTCTTTTGACCTGTCTTCTCTTGACCTGTCATCTCTTGACCTGTCTTCTCTTAAACTGACTTCTATTGACGTGTCTTCTCTTGACCTGTCATCTTTTGACCTGTCATCTCTTGACCTGTCTTCTCTTACCATGTGCTCTCTTGATCTGTCTTCTCTTAAACTGATTTCTCTTGACGTGTCCTCTCTTGACCTGTCTTCTCTTGACCTATCATCTCTTGTCCTGTCATCTCTTGACCTGTCTTCTCTTGCCCTGTGCTCTCTTGACCTGTCTTCTCTTAACCTGACTTCTCTTGACGTGTCTTCTCTTGCCTTGTCCTCTCCCACCTTCACATTCCCTGTCCTCTCCTTCAGTATCTTCTCTTCGTGATTCTCCTGCAAGTGAAGTACCAACGGTCTTCCATCCAGGAACAAACCGTCGAACATTCTTCTAGCCCTCTCCGCCTCCAAACGCGAGGTGAACGTCACCACGGCCCTCCTCGAATTCAAATCCACCGAAGATAATAGACCCACGTCTTGAAACATGTGATGCAAATCCTCCTCGATTATCTCCGACGGGAGATTTCTCACGATCAACCCGAATTTGTTCGGCTTTTGTGTAGGAAAAGCGTCTAACATTGTCGATGGTCTCTGATCCGTGCTCATCTTGAGAGATCCAGCACTGAAATGACTGAAAATGAAAGTTCTTTCAGCTTCTAAACTTCAAAAATTACCCATTTCTACGAAAAAAAAAATACGTTTCATTGGGAGGGGGAAGGTTGTCATAAACTCTTTGCCATTTTCAGAATACAGCAAATTCGCTTTAAAAATATTTTTACCTAAAAGAAAATATTTATTTTATGATAGTATTTCCAAAATTCTTATCATGCCTGTAAACTACGAAGAAAAATATACAAATCGTTTTCAAATATAAACTTCTTAAGACTGATATGCAAATATGAAACTGGTCATTTCTTGATCATCATTGCTTATTTATGTGCATTTTAATATGTGAAAATGTGTACATTAATTCCACATTAATTCAAGTTAACAGGTTTTTACATAATGTTTATACACACATTAAACGTGTCTTTAACTAGTGCCAATAAGGAAAATAATTGTGTTTATTGGAATCATAATTCCAATTTAAACAGAAATACTTAGGTCATATAAATTGATACAAAAATAATAATAAAGTTTAGACACAACATTCTAAAATTATATAAACTCTGTAAAAAGTCGATATATATATTTTGTTTCTTTCTATTAAAATTGAGTAATATCATCAATTCTAAAAAAATACTAGTGTTTAGTCTTGGTTGATTATCGGAATTAGTATTTTTTTCAATTCTAAAATTATACGAAATTCTTAATTATTTTATGCTTAATAAGTGTTTTGTATCATAAATCGTATGAACATTGAGCTGATTAGAGTTGATCTCCGCAATTATCGATTATCCGTTAATCTAAATTCAATTAAAACGCAAAGACGAGAGGTTCGTCAAAACAACCGTCTTTATTTTCTACTGTAATTAAACCTGACGCAATCGTAGTAATTTTCTGCATAGTAAAATTATCTGCAATTTATTCGCAATAAAATCTACGCAAATAAATAAGTGATAAAGAACAAAACAAGAAGAAAAAATAAACAAATAAATAGAAATAAACGAGTTGGGTAATGACGAATGGTAAACAGCGCAATTAGTACGTTTTCTATTTATACACATCCATTAGCCGACCAATAAATAAACTTGGCTCAATGGAAAATCCTTCGGAGACGAGTAATTCGTTGCGTAACTCGAATAAACCACATCTTTCAATTGTTCATATGTTGTTGTTTATTGTTGGGTTCTGTAAATGGTCTTTTCGAGCGGATTCGCGGCTATGAATAATGTTATAATTACCATTCGGATTGTAGGTCAGAGCTTTCCAAGCACGAAAATAAATGCCGTAGAGCGCGAAATCGATGCGCGCAAGATTTTTGATTGAGTTATTATCATCGTCCGAACGAGCGAGTCCGAAACGTTTTGCAAACAGCGTGCCGCAGCAAATGTCGAGATGAATGCTGCTGCATCTCAATGTAACTACATCTGTTATTGTTACAGGTGATATTTTAATTCAATTGCTTATTGTAATTTCGTTTAGTTGAATTGACTTTTTTTAAATAATAAACCATCAATTGAATGAGAGAAATATATAAAATTCGCAGTTTGATTCGGGACACGGAGCAGTACAGACGTATTCGATAGTGATAAGAAGTATTTCTGTTTTTTTGGCTTTGTTTGGAATCCAAACTGTGTAATCGCAGTTGATTCTTGTGATCATGGAGCTGGAAGCAGAGGGTACTGATACATCATCTTACCCTTTGGAGATCACGAGTTCCGGTTGGGAGCAGGGAAAGTGGAAACGCGGAAGACCAAAGAAAGAATCCGTAAAAAACTACTACAACGTAAACCAAAGATGGCAATGTCGAGGTCTTCAAAACGCCACAAGAACTTGCTGTTTCAACAGATAAGAAGGATTTTGCAAACAAAAAATCTCTGAATGTTTTCAAGATAAACGTGCGTGAGGCGACAACGAGATCGCAACTATCTAAATTGTGGTTGAGGGGGGCCGGCAACCGAAAGGATATTATTGTGGAAACGAAGACTGGCTTCATTTTGAAGTCAGAAAACCCTAAGGCTGTGGTCGTTGCGTATCTGTCCTACGTCGAGAGCGTTCCTCCGAAGGTGCCAAAATAACACGGCCACACGCGTTGCTGTCTTGTGTCCTCACAAGAATGGACCTGGACATTATGACGCTGAAATCAGAGAGCATGTCAAGTCGTTTGGGGTGGAACACAGGTTCTGCAAGAGGATCTTATCCAGGGCGACGGGACAACCATCCTACAAGATGCGCATCATTACCGCGTCGCGTCGTCCTTCTAGAGACTCCTACAATGCAACCAAAGGGCTATCGACCTAAGTCTTTCCGCCCAGAGACATAAAAAACATAAATTGTCACAATAAATCATATAAAAAAAATGCATTCTGAACAAAAAAAGTAAGACGTACATGTAAATATAAAAAAGATGAAATTATAAATTGTAAACGTTAAGATTTTAAAATGAAAATAATTAATATCAAATCATTTCTTCTACACTTTTCTATTTACGATTTGATCCGAATAATAAAGATTTATTATAATTATTCATTTAAGTACAAAAAAAGTGAAATTATTTTGATTTCTTTAAATTGGATTAATTAAATTAATTAAGTATATAGAGATCAAAAATAATATGATGCAATTTGTAAAAATGACTAAAATTAAACAGCGCTGAAAACCTGTTATAATTCACCTGGAAACAGTTATTATGCAAAATTTGCTCGGAGCATGAACAAAAAAAATTAATTATATATATAAAAAAAAAACTATTTAAATTGGAAGATGCTGGGAACTTTTCTAGAGAATTAGCTTTTGTTAAAGCGTGAAGCGCGATTCTAATCATGAGATAAAAACGAAGGTAAATAGTGTAAGAAACTGCGTTTCCGGTTCAAATATTTACCTTAAAAGTTTTATCTAATTTTGGTTACGAAATATCCTAATCTTACCGTGAAAACGATCCAAACTAATTAAGTTAAATCACAGTAATTTTGAAGCATGTAAAAAGAAACTAATCTGGACTAAACAGTATGCAAATTGGATTAATTGAAATTGACCTGTCAGCGGCGCGCGAAAAACGCGATCAATCATAATCGATAATTACGTTTATTATATTTAATTTTTTTTTTTGCTTGTTGTTGTTGTTGCTGTTATTTGTCGGTTTCGCTTTTCAATTTCGTCCGGATTAATTAATTCGTCTCGGCTAATTAACAGGAGAGCTACCTACAATTAATGAACTTGGCGAAATACACATTATTTATACTGTTGGAAGAAGCGAGAATAAGAAGAACAGCAACAATGAAGCTTCGCGTATCCCGAGGCCCACCGGATTCCGTTGAAGAGAAACCGTTTCGCTTCTTCCTACAAAATGGGAACGTAAATTAGCCTCGCGAACAATTAGAAAATGATTTTTAGAGGATGACGTGCTAATTGAAATTAATTGAGAAAATTTACGCATCTTAATTATTGGCGACCAACGTGGGGCACCGTCATTCTTTTATTTGTAAAGCGTTTCGTTTCATTCTTTTTTATTTATTGTAATCATTGTATTGCAGTTTTCATTAATTTTGGTGACCTTAAGTGTGTTAAAAAAAGTGATTATTTCTTATTTTTATGTGTTTATTAGTTAGGAAGTAGTTATGAAAATTATATGTATAATATTGTCATTGGAGAGTTGAAAAATTGCTGTTTCATTGGACGAGACAAATTACCCAATCCATTAATAAAGGCGTTGGCATTCGTTTATTTGTAAATGCTGGTGGGGTCATTAAATTGAATATGAGGTAATTAGGAGTCAGATATTAAGGCCGAAAAAGGAAATCCATCTTCGGTGAAGAAGAAGAAGCACTTTGGATTTCATGATTCTCGTTATTAATTTTCTGAAGGCGGCCGTGATTGAAAGGTGATTAAAAAGCCTCGTTGCATAATCCCAACACCATCCTTGTTCCACCCATTCCGATTTGTATAATTTTTTTCGAACGGTTCACTTTTCGTATATGAAATTTCGTTTCTCACGTGTACAAATGCACCGCATTGCATCTTTTTTTATACACTAATGATTCGATGATCTTCACTTTTTCTTCATTTAACAAACAACATAAGAAGTTTTGGGTCAACCACCTTTTTTCATCCAAACAAAAGTAAGAGTAAATCACAAAGAAAAACTCATTTCGAAGATACATCAATAAGAGAACATTAAGAAGAGTAATCTCTAACCAAAAGTAAAAGTAAAACAAGGAAGCTATTCCTCAGGTAATTTATTATTTCTTTTTTTAATTCTCTCTTGCAGATTTGGCTTTTGATTGAAAAGTGCAGATAAAAAAAGCCGTGCGAATCTCTAATTTCTTTTTACGAGCGAGTATAAAAAGATAATAATATTAAAGTTACGCAACTTCGGATTATTTTCCGAGTCATTTAACGCGAGAAACTTAATTCAGTTTAAATTGCATCAAAAGTCGGGTTTACGTAATTTCAATTTTACGTAACGAAAAATTGGATGGATATGTTCGAAATATTGTTATGTGTTCGGAATTGTTGTTGTTGTGAGAATTAATTAAAAGAAATCGATTGCAAGAAGACGATTGATGAAAGTTACGACGGGTTTTCATTGATTTCCGGAAACACGAGATCTCTTGAATGAAATTCAGCGAAAACACGATGTGGCTAGGATGTGGGGCACAATATCACCTTCAACTTTCCCGCAATGAAAATTGAGTTATCACTGTTTTTTTCTTCATTTAAATTTTGAAGAATATGCGTTTTTTTTTTTTAATAATTGTAAATCAGTAAACTATTAGTATGTATTACCATAGATATAATGAATGTGAATTTCTGAGAAAATAGTAATTTTTTGTTTTTGGCTACCAACGTGGGGCACCAACTTTTGATAGACTCAGAATATGCAGAGGTGATGATTATTGTTTTATTTAGAAAATGAAAAAAAAAATAGTTATGGACATTCTCTTATTTAGACATTTTTTAATTTTATGAGATTTTATGATTGTGGGCAAAATTCGCATTTATTTTTTTCGTAATGAATGTAAATTGATTACGATTTCTATTTAATTAACATTTTTTGGCGTCCGACGTGTGGCGGTGATATTTGCATTTTGTAATCGTTGTCAGAAAGTCCAAAGTGATAGAATTTCTTACAATGAATAGGAAATTTTAGTTTTGGCGACCAACGTGGGGCTCTTTTTTTAAATAATTAGATAATTGGTTGTAATATATGAAGGATTTGATTGTAGTTTTGCTTGGAAGCTAATTAAGTTAATTGTTTTAATGAGGATTGATGTGGTTAAGGAAATTCGGAAAAGTATTGGGTTTTAGGTCAGAGGGATAAAAGAAAGACGAGATGCGCAACGAAGCGGATTTGCATACAATGGCGGAGCTATTTATAAATCGCTTTTAATCGAATATGAAGTAAAATTCCGTACGGAGAATGAGCGCTTGTGGAAAGGGGGGAGGGAAAATCAAACAAAACCGTGGCAGCAGCACATGACGGCGACTCGAGTCGAGAAAAATCGGTATGCAAATGATTTTCCTATGGGAAATCGATTTCACCTGGCCGACGAGGCAAGAGCAAGCAAGCATCGCTTTTCCCACAGGAGAGGTCTTTGACGATTCGTTACACTCCCAAGTGTTAATTCTTTCTTTCTCTGTCTTTCTTTATTTATTCGAAGCATTTCAAGATGAAGTTGAAGCACTACAAGAAGTAAAAAAGAGATGTATAAAAAGTGGTATGAGAGGAGAAGAAGCATAGATACTCGGACACTATTCATAGATTACGCTAAAAATAAGAGCGACGTCGTCGTCGTCGTCGACGACGAGAGAGGAGGTCGTTACACCAAAATGTTGCACTTTTTCACACGTGAATTCCACGGCTCCAACTGAGCTCGAACTGAGTTGCTTGCGAAGAAAAGAGTAGAAAGAGCAAAAAAAATGAACAACTAGCAACACCACACAACGCACATAAAACACATGGCCATACGAAATCGATTATTGCAGAGTGGAATGACTGTTTGTGGTATGTGTGTTTGTGTATATGCAAAGAGTCGCGAATCCAGTTTTCCTCTTGGATCTGACAAACACGTTTATGGCCAATCAATAATTTATAACAATAGAACACGGCCGGGTTGTAAAACGATCCTCGACTTCTTAGAAAACCTCCGCAAACACAAAAGCAAATAATAATCATAAGCAGAACGCAGTCGCTGCGCTCTTGCTTTTGCTTCCACGGCGATCCAATCAATTTTTATTTCTTCGGACATCCATAATTTCCAAACGAGTGAAGAGACGATGATGGAGAGAGAGAGAAGAACGAAAGAAAGAAAAAAAAAAGAAAAAATTGAGTCTTCGTCGCGGATTAACAATTATACGCAAAAAAAAATGTGTACAAGATGTAGACGTAATTGCATGTCTCTATATTTATTACTTTGAACGAAAGTAAGGACACGTCGAGGAGACACGTCGTTACTTCATTCATTTCGTTCCTTTTTTTTTTCTTCTGCTGTACTCTCCGATTCACATATTGAACAATGAATGCATGCATGCGCGTCGTCTATTCAAATTGTTTGGGTTTCGTCGTTTCCTGGACTTTGACAATCGCTTAATTAACGGCGAAGTTCGAAAGTCCGTTTACATTATTATATAATAGAAATGTAAATATGTATTGTTTATCATCTCAGACTTTTCCAACTACTGCGTTTTAATTAATTAAATAGAAATTACACAAAAAAAAATGTAAGAAAATTCTCACAAATAATTAATTATTGTAGAAAATGTTTGTAAGATTTTAAATTTTCTAATACAATAAGAAACTAGAAGCATTTCCATTTCATTCAATTTGAAAAGTAGTAGTTTTTCCAATAACATTTTTTTTTGTCAATTAATTTAACAAATAATATTAGTTTTTCAGTAATAATACTTTCTCAGTGAATTTTCATTATTATACAAAATTTATTGACTTTTTGATGTTTTTTTCAATATTTTTTTTTTCATTTTTTATTAATTTTTCGATTTTTCCCCAATTTTCAATAACATTTTTTTATTTGTCTTCTTAATTAAAAAAAAATATGAATCAATTGTTTTCGTATGT